TAACATTAACTAAACAGTTTTTTAAATTGGATTTTGAATAAATGTGCAATTAATTGTTACAGTTTTGAATTTTATTGTTATAGATCATCTAGTCCAGTGGTTCCCAAACTTTTTCAGTCCACTGCCCCCTTGGTGCTACAAACTGATCCTCAGTGCCCCCCACCCAGTGGTGGAATTCAATTTTTTTACTACCGGTTCTGTGGGTGGGGCTTAGTGGGCGTGGCGTGGGGAGTCATGTGACTGGGCGGTTTGCACGACGGAATGAAGATAATAACATGTCAACCACCAAGAAAGGACCATATGCTACCAATGTTTCATTATCCAAAATAGGTAACTTCATCAGTGCTTAGTAGGGAGTGCGCGCGCGCGCACACACACACACACACACACACACACGGATGTGTGTGTGTGTACCAGCATAACTCTGAAACGCCTCAAGCAATTTCAACCAAACTTGGTACACAGATGACTTATTCTCTGGAAAGAAATACTTTGTGGGTAAGACACCCCTAACACCTTTCGGTGTGTGTGTTCTGTTAAGATGCAGCCTGTTATGCCTTAAAATGACTTCTACTGTACTGCCGTAAATGGCTTCTACTATGCAGCACAGTGGAGTTGCCATGGTAACCGCTTCACAGCACTCCACAGGGGGGCTCCCTCTGGTAAGGGGGAAAATTCAACATTAGAAATTACGTTTGGTCTGGGATTATTTTTGAGGACAAATGTATGGATTAGGATAAATAAATACCCGAGCAACACTGAATTATCAGCTAGTTTTATATAAAAGAATGCAAATCCTACTCTTTGGAAGCAGTGATGACATTACATAGTTGGGTAATAAAACATCTACAAGAAAACAACCAAGCTCAGAGAGCACCAAGGACCCCGCAGTTTAATATTTGAGCTACAAATATTATCCTCTATTGGTATCATGCACTGCCAAATTTGCAGTTTAGGAGATGTTGAGAAAAAAATGAGTCCTGTTCCTTTATATATTCATTCGAAATAAGATGAAAAGAAGCCGAATCTTAATTTAATTTAAAATGATTAAGAGCTATAAGACATTTATTAAATGTGGGCTAATTTATGTAGGTTGTTATATATGTTTAGATATTTAAAAGTGATACTCAGGGTTTCAAGTAATACACCCATAGCAAACAGAACTCTGAGGCAAGCAGATTCCTCAAAGAACAGATTTATTGGATATATCATATTGGCACAAACAGGTGAAAACCGACTCTAAAGGTTCCTGCAGTTTTCACCTAATTAAATGTAAACATTTCCCCCCTTTTTCCCAATCAGTCACATGGTCCAATCAAAGTGCTATCGGGTTGTTTGGAAACGTCATTCCTTCTCTCTTCAGCCACCCATGGGAATGTCCTTGGTTCTCAAGGGAAACTATTTTGTTTTGGCTACAGAACTCCAGTTATCTATACTTAACCCTTAGTACTATTGTGGCAACACTGAAGCCTCCAAGATAGCCTCAGTCAGGCCAGCTTCAGAGTTGACAGTGATATGGGGGGAAAAAATAGTGCTCCTACATACCTTCACAGCAAATTCCATATTGGAAACTGTATGAATGCAGCGCTTACACACCGAGTAGGAGCCCACACCAATGTCTTCTTTAAGTTCATAGGCATCTGTGAAGAGGGCACTGCTCCCATGAAGTTGCTAAAGAACACAATAAAACAACTTTTAAAAGCTTGCAATTATTTCATAAACTTTTTCAGAACATTTCTGCAGGTACCCTACACTTCTTATCAGCTGTATACAATTTGGATTTGTGAAAAGAAATATAATAGTAAGGGCAGAGACAGACCCCAAACGAGCAACTTTTGGGCCATTTTGTCCTTTTTAAGTTGTAGGCTTAGTGGATGTAGTTGTTGATGCATCCCAACTGGTTCACAATTAACATTATATCAGACTTTGGTTGAATTTGGATTTAATACGTTGATCATTTCTTGCAGTCTGTAAGTCCTGGTTTCTTTCTTCAGATGGATCTGTAAATTCTCCTAAACCCATGAGAAACTTTAGCCCTAGACATTAGCAGGCAAATAATATCATCATCATTTAAAGCCTCCATAACGGTCTTTGTGGGGTAGAGTCTGGGCAACTGAATGGAGCTATCAGAGTGTTTTAATGGCCAGATGCCCTTCCTGTCACCAATGCGGAGTTTTGCTCAGCAGATAAATTCTCAGTGTGCCCAGAGAGAGAAATATCTGCCTCTACCTAGGATTGAACTCACAGCCTCCTGATTGTGAGGCGAGAGCTCCATCTCTAGGCCATCACATCACTCCCAGAAGCCAACTATGATGATGGGTAAAAAGGAGCACTTAGGGTGACATCACAACCCAAGTCCTACAATGATGTATCTCAATATCAGACACAAATATATATGTTACCGAGGCTGTGATATTATGATGCTGATTTTGTCATTTCCATATGCGAGCCCTTTTAAGTCCTGTGGACTTCAACTCCCAGAATTCCCCAGCCAGCTGGCTGAGTAATTCTGGGAGTTGAAGCCACAAGTCTTAAAATTGCCAAGTGTGAAAAACACGGCTCTATGACATTAGATATTAATATTAATATTAATTGGGACCCAGGTTTTTTTTTAAATTAGCTATGATTAAGCCCAAAGAATCCAGTTTCCAATCCTAATGATTCTGTACAGTGATATCATTATACCTATATTTAACCATATTTTATCATCTATAATGCAACAAATCATGACTAAGAAAACTATATTGTAACATTTTAATAGGATAAGGGGAAAGTGTCTGTATGAAATTCGCTGAAAATAATCTGTCTTTGGACTCATAACACAATTTAACAGCTTATTCTTAAGGGGATTAATATATGAATTTTGTCTTCCAAAAAGTCTTCCTTTTAAGCCCCTTTCAAAAGAAGGTCCATACATATAGTACATACTTACAGACACACTTCATCTTTCAACCAGAGAAACCACTATTCTCAACCAGGAAAGTGTGTGAACTCTGACAAATTATTATCCCTACATTATTTTTTCATAGTTGCGAAACCAGAAAACCAGCCTCATATGCCGGCAACGCTACCGTAGTCAGCAAGCATTTCTGACAATTTTTAATCTATAAATATAAAAGCCAAATACCACACACTTGTCACAAAATCTCCAGAACTGCAAAGCCTACAAACCTGAAATTCGGCACGTATGTTCCTCTTGGCTTCTAGGTCCTCGCTAAGAAAGGATTTTTTGAAATGACATCACATCATCAGCATTTCCTATAACCGGCAGTTGCCTTATAGTAACACGCTCTGATGCTACCCCTTCGCTAAATTAGGCGTGGGCGTAGCCAGCGCGTGACTCATCCAGCCTGTGGGCTGGGAGTTTAGACATTCTACTCCCCCTCCCCACCTGAAAAGAATTCTGTTCCAACTGCCGGTTGCCTCACATTCCGTTACCTCAGTTCAAACTGGCAGACGTTGCACTCCTTCACTCAGGAGCGGTCTGGGGCTCCTTACAATACCAAACGTGGGTACCTCAGCAAAGGGGAGGGAAATTCCAGCTTCCTTTCCTTGGGGCCTACCCTGCTTTAAGTGTCAATTTATCAAGCCTGATCACACAGTTTTGTAGGGAAGCACAGGTATCCAGCTAGTACTACATATATTGGTCAGGAATGGTTGTTTCAATATTTCTGCATGCACAGATTAGAAACTACATACACACACACACACACACACACACACACACACACACACACACACACACACACACTTTTACCTGTACTATTGGCAAAATGTTGTTGAGAGGGGTGATTTTGTGGTCTTCTAGGGCGTTTGTTGCCACAAAGCTGAAACCTTTGAAGAGCTGATGAGCATTGGCGCTTGGTGGAACTCCAGGAGAATCTTGATTAATTGAAGAGTATGACATGTTAGCTTGCCCAAAATATAATGAAAAATATTCTGTATCATCATGCTGATTTATCAAAGAATCTTCTTTCGGAAAAATGGCGAATGTAAACCGCCTATTGATTGTTGTATCGAAGAAGTAAACAAAGAAAAATGAAGGCTTGGGTTTTATTAAAAAACCAAATAATTAGCATGGAAAACTAATTCAATGAGTCAATTTCAATTTAGTGATGTTAAATAAAAGCTTTTTTTTTAAAAAAACCTGAAAATTAATAGCATATTTACAATATATTTGGGGGGACAAACGGATTGCCCTATATTTATTTACTCTTACTAACAGTTTATGTCTATTCCAATTAATACGTTGAACTTTTAAATGGAAAGTTCTATTATCAAAGACGAATGGGTGGAGGGAAGACATATTACAGGTATATTACAAGATATTGCACATAGCCCTTGACTTATGACCACAATTGAGTCCATAATTTCTGTTGCTAAGTGAGACATTTGTTAAGTGACTTTTGCCCATTTTACGACTTTCCTTGCCACAGTTCTTAACACTGCAGTTGTTAAGTAAGTGAGATGGTTGCTAAGTGGATCTGGCTTCCCCATTGACTTTGCTTGAAAGAAGTTCGGAAAAGCAGATCACATCAGGGGTGGGTTTCAACCGGTTCGCGGCGGTCCCTGCGATCCGGTTGGTCGCCGAACCCGGAAGTAAGTAACTTCCGGGAACGGCGAAGCCCCCCCCCCTGCGCCTGCGCGCCTGCGCACGCCCGCGCCCGCTCCTTACCCGGTTTTGCCGAATTCTGCGCTTCCACGCATGCGCAGGACGCATACAGCGCCTGCGCGATCCTCCAGGAGCAGCTGGAGCATCGCACAGACGGTAGTACGCATGCGCGCGCATGCGTGAGGACGCCGCCGGCCTCGTTCCAACCAGTTCGGTTGGAACGGGGCGAGAAACCCACACCTGCTGTGTTGCCTATTATTGTAAGGGTTGGTATTCTACCATCTCTTACAATAATTACAATACTGCCTCTTAAGATAATCTACATCTATTCTACCACCCCTTCTATAAGGATAAAGTACTGATATTGTGTTCACAAAGCCACCAGTTTGCAATAGGCTGCACAAAAATATTCGTTGGTTTACAAAACAGAAGGTCTTAGAAATTTACCTCAGAAATTGTTTAAATCA